TTAATTTGTGTTGGAGTTTTATAAGTCGTTTACAACATTCGCGTCCGTGTTGTATGGGAATTACAATCTCGAGCCGCACTTAAAATGCAGAGTATGTACCTCGGTACTCGAGGCTCAAGAGTGTCCAGTCTTGCATGCGCATGGKCAGAACGATCAAATTAGAGATTAACAGCTAAACAAGCAGCTATCGCCACTGCAGAATGTACAACCTTTCTTTTCTTTTTATTTTACCTTTTTTTGCTTGGCTCATGATTTGTTGCCATTGTTCGTCTGTGTTAAGCCCCATCTGTACTCATTATTATAAAAAATAACTGTTACATACCGCATAGTAATTGGTTGAAATCAGCTCAAAAAACCGTTTTTCCAAAGAGCACAAGCGAAGAGTTGTTGTTATTTCATACATATCACATACAGAATTTCACCCCTCCCTTCATAATAACGTACAATTGCCCAGCTATCTTCAAACACTCGTTTAAATACTCGTTTACTGGTAAATAAATCTATCATTAGTTTTGGTATTAAAATTATTATTCACGGTTTCCATGGAAATCGACAGTAAAATAAAAGCAAAAGCAAACCAGCAAAACAGGGGAATGAAATATCGAATGAAAACTTTGTCACAGCAATTATTCATAGGACCAAAGCATTACATCCAGGAAGGTCATTTTCGTGATTTACATCTTAAAAAAGATTCCTGGATGCCGAAGTTTTGCATATCAATTATTGATTTCTCCTGAAATGGTATTAGTGAAGGAAATAGAATTTCAAATGACGTGGCCTTTCCTTTGTCCAAGCATTTAAAGTGCTACTTGCATGAAAGTGATCTTATTTCAAAACTTCAAGCAATACAAATATATGACTCATTTTTATCTATTAAAAACAATTGAGGGAAAGTATTCGTTTTGGAGTTATCCCACATAAGAGAAATTTTGATTCAAAAGATGGAAGAACAAAAGAATGGAGTAGATGACGTCATCTACTCCAACATTTTTTGCCCAAAATATTAAGGATTTGTATCAATATCTTGTTGAAATCTGTTGCTTTATGATTATTAGACCCATATGGATAGKTCTATTTGATTTTCAAGTCTTTTCTAATGTTTTGCAATTTTCGTCCAAGTAGACTTTTAATGCAATTTACAAAAGTACAGCGTTGTACAGCTTTTTATATTGTTTCTTATCGACAATTGAATTTCACAGACTGCACACAATCTGAAAAAATCAAGTCTGAGAGTCTTCTTGTCGTTGCACTGTCATGGCAAACAACTCTTCAAACGCCAATATCGTTTTCGATTGTTGCTCAATCAACATGTAGGCATTCTGTATGCGCGCCGCATGCGCGCGAAAGGGCCCATGGACGGCAGCGTCGCTTACCCGCCAGCAGATTCGCGCCCTTTTGTAGATGAGCGTGAATTAAACAAAAAAATTATCATGGCGGTCTCAATTCACAGTGTACTCTTTCTTGCTTCGCTTTGATTGTTTATTAATTCTACCTAGTTTGTTAGGTCAAAGAGTGGTTGTGTAGTTTGTGGAAAAAAAAGTCAGCCAAGTACATATTCGATCTTATGTCGATGAATTTTTTTTTTTTGCTTCCAGGGATTCATACGTTAAAGCACAGTTCACTAAGCCACACATGTGCACCATATTGGTAGTGCTTTACAAAAGCGCACGCAATTTATTCAATAATTTGACTATACCCACCCGCTATTACACCTTTTTAGCTTTAAAATGATGATAAACACAAGCACGGGCGATAGTAGAAATAGCCTAGTTATCAAAATGATATCAGGCCCATAGGCTGCCTTCTTACAAATGGGGTGGGGGTGTTTTTTTATAATATAATGCGGACTTAAATTAAATGTTTAACTATCTCAAAAACAGTTCATAACAAAAGAATTTTAAAGTAGAACAATAAAAAAAAGAGAAGAGAAACACCGGTTCCGACAAATCAATCGCGAGCTTGCGATTAGCCAATCAGAAGAAAGCGCGGGAATCAAACGCTCGCAGCTTGTCCCAAAAATGCTTTCGAGTTTTCGTAAATGACATGTCTACCGACGATTTGTCTATAAACTTTCCGATAATATTCTGTTTCTTTTGTTACAAAGAGCAAGTCATAGAGAAAGGACTGAATTATAGACTTATGCTAATGAAGTTATGGAATAATAAAAATACAAGTATTGTATGGAATTCTTTGCTGAGTCCTTGTTAGCCTCGCTTTGTCGTTTTTTTCTTCTAACCCTTGTAACTTCTGGAGAATTTAATATTTTTCTGTAAAACTTTCAGATGATCTTTAACTTTGATATCTATCAATGTTATCAGTAATGATAATATGCCAATTAACAATTAGACCTCGAGGTCCCAGGTCGAGTGGATACGAGCTAATAGCCCATKAGGCCGAGTCCGCGAGGCCGAATGGGCTATTAGCTCGTAGCCAACGAGGCCGAGAGAACTAATTGTTTTAGTATAAACATATTAATCGGTCAAATAATGAAAACAAATTGAAATACCCTTAAAATAATTTATTAATGAGATGCCGCCATTTTGATTTTCCCGCGAGTGGTCTATCACAAATTAGACCATTAGAGAGTAGCCAATCACAGCGCGATAGTGATAGACATTAGTTATCCTGTGTACATCCGTTTCTCACCCCTCATGTACACAGGCTAGACATTAGTATGTTTATAATAATTACGATTAGTTATTATGACAGCCGTCAATTATGATACTATGTTTACATTTAAATTATTCATTTATTCAAATCCCGAATTATAAATCATCCATATTCACTTTGCTCGATTCTTTTGGTGCTCTAATCYAGCCATAAATAAATGGTAGCACTCGCGTAAAATGAAATAATATATAATAACTAAAAATTCTAAAAACTGGGTATTCACTTTTGTTTTCCTTTATTTATTTTATTATTATAACTGTAGCTTTTCGAAACAGCGGTAATAAAAGAGAAACAACGTAATGATGTAGTGTYGCCATGGTGATAATACAATAAATTCCTGCTTTTAATGATATTCATAAATTGACAGCTTAGTGACATCTCCAGAGTTATTTTAAAACAACTGACAGAGATACCTTCGAGTATCTCGATCAGATACCGCATCATTTTTTTTATAAACAAGACAATTCTAAAATTTTTGGCTACGAATCTGTATGACCTGATTAGATTTAATGGAATTATCGTTATGTGAAACTCATTTCCGGAGGGGGTGAGAAGAGAAAAAATGATCGTTACTTCCGCATGTGGTACCACAGGGATCCCAAAGAATTTTTGAACAAATTCAAACCGACAAATCATTGACAACTTTATATCTGTGATGAAATATACTGTATAACCGACAAAAATATCTCCTATTATTTTTAGTGATTTCTGGATTGAGCAATTGCTGCTAATTGTTATATTKAGCTATTCGTGTCTCGCGTTGGTCACCCTGTGTTTTTCTAGCAATATGTGACGTCACTTCATTCTCAAGATGGCGGAACTGAGTGTGGAGAATCGTGCAAGATGACTTTACGAACAACGTAGAAATCTCAATGTCAGGACGTTCTAAAAGGCCAGCCTTTCCATGGTTATATAATGGACTCAGGTTGGTCTCGGTTCAGAGCTTTGTACGATTATAAACCTCAAGATGACAACGAAATCGAGATTTCTGTTGGCGACATCTTGATAGTTGCTAAACCAATCCCTGACCCGAATGGGTGGTTACTCGCTCAAAATGAWCAAWCTAACCRAATGGGCGATGTACCCGGTACTTACTTGGAATACTTAGATGATATTGAAGAACTTGAACCAGAACCTGAGCCTGAACTACCGCCTCCAAGGCCGCCCAAACCAAAACCAGGTAAAAATCAAAAGTCAAAATWAYGAGGATTGCATTGCAGTCTGCTAAACGTTRTTTTATAAGCTTAAATGTTGTTTCATGTTCACACCGTTGCATTGCAGCACATAAGCGCTTCACAAGTTGACATAGAACGCATATTTAAGTTTATAGATAATTGTTTAAGTTTGTAAGAATGTTTTTTATCGATTTTTTGAGAGATCGATATCAAAGTATAATTTTTGGGGATTGTTTCCGGGCCAGGAGATTAAAAATTGTCAATTGATTTTTTT